TGTACCAACGGGTCGGGTTGACCTTTTCTTCTTCATTTCCAAATCTCCTTATTATTGGTAACTAAGATAATCACAAGAACACCTCTTTGATTTCTGTAAAGCTTTCCTGAGTATACCTTTATGGTTGCAGATTCCAAGATCTCTCTCTCTCTCTCTCTCTTTCTGTCTCTCTCTCTCATAACTGAGGTTTAACTTCTAAGGTGATTCCATCAACTCTCTCTTTAATAAAGCATGATAATTAATCAAAACAAAGGCACAGCTTAAGTGTTCTGTAACACTAACTGACATTATACATTTGTTAATTCTTTCAGTCAATCTAAACCATTTGATTAGTAGACACAATCTCTGCTTAGACAATTAGCATGTGACCATATGCGTATTATGAAAATTAGTGTCCGTTTATTATGAGTTCTTTCCAGAGAGATGTTGAGTACTTGGGGCTTTAAGGATGTTTAAGAATTCAAGAAGCAACCTATGTGTAAGATGTTCTTTGGTTAACTTATTGAACCAGCTATATCTTGTGTCTAATTCCAATGACTAATTCCTAAACCAAAACACTAATGTTTAAAATTGCAGTACAGACCCATCTAAAAATAATTAAATAAAAAAAAAATCTCATTATGGTAGTTAGAATATAAAGATCAACAACTTTACTAGTAACAATGTTCAAGTGAAATGCACTAAAAAAATCATAAGAGAAGAGAACACAGTGCATGTACAAAGAAAATACATATGATGATAAAGATAATATGGCTCTACACAAGAAGAAAAAAATAGTTAGTCTCCATGAACTCAAATTTATGCAAAGGAAAATAGAAACTAGCAATGTAAGGACAATATAAAGAAAGCACAAGCGAAGAAGAGATAATTGCGAATGATTATACAAATAAAACAGCCATATATAAAAATTACTAAACAATCAGAAGCAGCAAAATAGAAAATTAGACTTTGTTAAACTGAATTCATCCAAATATAATATCTAGCGTCACCAAACACGTCACCGACTTGCTTTGAAGTTACCCTAAAGTCCCTATATAATCCTCGAGATGCATGTAAAGGGCAAGTGAAAAGAATTCTGGAGAATTCACTCCCACCAAGATGAAACTTCTTGTTCAAAAGAAAGAGGCCATGTGAGTGAGTACAACTACTAGCTGTCTAGGGCATTGGAATGTAACTATATTTCGCAAGGGATGACGAGATTTGCCAAATGTGGAATGTTTTATGCCTTGTTTGAATAAAGAAAGATACTGTAAGATGTGGACCTCTCTCCTCCATAAAGTTGCAGCCCCATCATGGTTTGACTAGCTCGTATTTCATTGGATCTTCAATAAATTTAATAAACAGATGATTAAAATAATAATAATAAGTAGTCTCATACATTAATCAGTCTTGCAATGTGATCCTCACAAACCTCATGTTCAAAGCTAAGAGTATGCCAACGCCATTTCAATCCTATTCTCAGACACTCATCAATTTTTTTACTGTTGGTTTCGACATGGAAACGATAAGACCTCTATTCTAAGGATGTTCCACAGACATAACTACCAAAGCCCTAAGCTAAGGACCACACCAAAAAACAACGACCCCGAAAGTTTTAACCCTGCTTCAGGGATGACAGAACATCACAGACCCAAGGGCAGTAACATAAGACTGCAACCAAATATCATTTGTGTACTTGTAAGATTGGCAACTTACTTAATGGACTAGCCATAACTGTAAAAACACATTGATAAAATTATAATGATATTCTCTTTAATTTCATATTATAATCAACCTAGACCACATACACTTTGTTCTTCAAAATGTGTAATCTATGCGTTCCTGGAGAACAAATTCCTTCTAGGCCCCGTTTGTTTTCAGAGATAGAATGGAAGGGATTCATAGTGAGCGGATTAAGTAAAATTGTATTTGTTTTGATGATAGTTGTTAGTGTAGGAAATGTTAAATTATTTTTATATAAAATAATAAAACAAATAAAAAAATATAAAAAATTAAACATTAATATTTATAAAAAAAATTCCCAATATATAACAAATAAAAAAATAAAAAAATTTCTGATCTCCTCACTATTTTTCTAATACCATCTCCCCAACCTTCATCTCAATCCCCTCCCCAACCTCCATCTATATCAGCTCCACCATCCTAATCCTTTCCCCAACTCTATAAACAAACACAATATTAAATAACACCTCCACCATCCTAATCCCCTCCCATCTACTTAACCCAAAACAAACGGGTCCCTAGGAGATTTATATCATCACTGAAGACGACAATAATGCTGATAAAATATAAATGTAACTGAAACATTTTTAGAAAAATGGTTTATTTCATTGTTGGAGGTATTAATTTGCATGCTTCATTACCATTTAAAAAGTTAATAAGCCTCGATTTCTAACAGTGAAAATAATTTCTGCTAAATCAAAAACTGAAAGCTAATATATCATATTCTCCCATTCCAGTTCAGTGTATAGAATAACAATATGAGAGACAGAACTGTTACCTCGATGTTTAATCAAAGTAGTTTTTTTTGGTGGCGGTGGTAGTGGAGTGAAGGCAATGGTTGTGGTGGTGGTATTAGTGGTGGTGGTGGAGGTGGTCGGAGTGGTGATAGTAGTGATGGCAGTGGGATGGAGGTGGTGAGGTGGTGGAACTAGTGGTGATGCACTTAGAAGGGGTGGGATGGCGGCGGTGGTCTTGGTGAGGTGGTAGTGGCAGTTGCAGTAATAATAGTAGTAGTGGTGGCAATGCTGGTTGCTAGTGGTAAGGGTGATAGTAACATGATAGTGTGATGGAATTAGTAAGAGTTTATTATAGAAAATGTTTTTCATCTTTCAAAATGAGAAAATATATTTTGTCCAAATAAACTTGTTTTCCGTCGATCACTTAAAATGTTTTTCATTAACTTTCGTTTTCTGTTGTCTCAAATGATAAAAAACGCAGAAAATATTCCACCCAAACAAATGGAACGTAAATTTAATGCACTTTATGGACAACGTCACTGTAACTGCACATGGATAACAAGGACAGATGAACTTCTAGATTTATGTGAACCTTGTACAAGAAGGGAGGGCATACAAAAGATTTACTAATACCAATTGACTAACACAGACTAAAAAATAAACTATAAGCAATATAGCAGGTAGAACTGACTAGCAACAGTGCAAGGCCCTTTATATTCTGCTACATTATCATTTTAACTCTATCCCAGTTGGAGCAAGCAAGAATCAATAAAATAATAATTTTTATACTCCATCAGATCATGATTTTAATTAACGCCCATGACGAACTCTGACAATTTTCTACTGTCCAGAAATCAATTAATTTCCCTTCACAAGAACCAACTAGCACAAGTTTCATAAAAAACGAACTCTTCACCATAAAAAAGAACCTTTTCAGCACAAACAATGTCAGCCACTACAGTCAGGCTTCCTACTCTACACATGGAATGTTGTAACACATTTTTTGTTAGGGTGAATTACGCTAACCACCACTGAGATTTGAAAAAAAATATAATAAGCCCCGCACAATTGGCATAATTACACTAGTCCCCCTTTTACTAAGGTTAGAGCAAACAAAATTAATACAAATGCTGTAAAAACAGAAATAATCAATGATTAAATATACATTTCAGTATAAAGGATATAACATCATTTTTTTTGTCCATACTAACTAATAACTTAAGAAAAGCGAACTAAGGAGCACAGTGTTAGTTGCACGAAGCGGGAGCGGAAGCGGGGGAACGTGGCCACGTAGAGGAGTCGTAAATTAGGAGCGCTTATATATTATTTTTATTAATTATATTTTATTTATTATAATAAATAATGAATAATAAATTATGTTCAAATAAATAAAAAATAAAAATTAAATCTTTTATTTTATAAATTTTTTAACTTTTTTTTATTATATATGATTTAAATAGATTTCTTTTAAATAATTAGATGATTTATTTTATTTATTATATGTTAAAAAGTTAAGAATAATAAATTTTAATAAATAATTTTTTATTTTAGACAAAAGAATTATATTATACAAATTATATTATATATGATAAATATTATATATATTAAATATAATATATTATATTATATTATGTATATATGATAAATTATATTTATATTATATAATATAAAACGGAGAGGGAGAGGGAGGGAGAACAGAGATCGAGAGAGAGAGAGAGAGAGATGAAGAACAGAGACGAGAGAGGGAGACGAATAGCGAGACGAAGCAAACAGAGACGAGAGAGGGAGACGAAGAGAGAGACGAAGCAAACAGAGGCGAAGAGAGACGAAGAGGAGATCGAGACTGAGAGAAGAGAGAGCGACGAAGACAGTCGAGATCGACCGTGAGAGGTCTCAGCCCTAATCGCGATTCTTTCGCATTAGAAGCGTGATTCTCTCGTATTAGAAGCGCGATTCTTGTGCGATTCTTCCTTGGAAGCGCAAAATCGCGCTTCTTCCTCAGAAGCGTGAGTCCCTTCCACGATTCCTGCTACTAAGAGTGTAATTAATGCCAAGCCTGTGGGGCTTGGTGTATGTTTTGAAACCTCAAGGGAGGTCAGTATAATTTACACTTTTTCTTATGTAGACTGCAATAACATGTAAAACTAGCAAAATGACCATGAGTTCCATAATCTTTAATCCATTGTCATATCTCTTTAAATGCATTAGTCAATTGGGAACAGCAGATACAATTAGCTGAGAATAATTACAGTGATGTAGAGAGGTACAATCACAAACCAGCTTTTCTCACAGTGACAAGCAGTGAACAAAAACAAGGAGGAAAGAGGATCAATGAAAATGCGAGACAGGAATGAAAAGAAGTTTACAAACATACAAAATCAGGTGCCTTGATCCCTCAGTTTCCTTAAAAGACACAGTAGTTCAATTGTCCATTTGAGGAGTGCCGCATGGGTGAAAGACGGTGCAGATCTCCATAAAAGACCTATAGTTCTTTCCATATGTTTACCGTTTACAATTCATCATGCTTTGAAACAGCTGTAGCAGAAAATACAATAACTAAATTAGATTTTTAAAAAATAACGTCTAATTAGTACACATTAATGTGTGTTTGAGAGGGAAAAGATCAGGTACACACCTAACCTTTTACACAAAGTGGTTGCTTGGGACTTGAACTCAAACCCAAAACCTCAAGGTTATTAGGACAAGGTTTTATCATTGATCCAATAACTAAACTAGACAGAAAGTTCATAAAAAAGGCTTTTCAACATCAACAAACAATACAATTCTCATCACTCTTGTGGAAGTCATTTCCAGGCAGAAATTTCTTGTTTCCATTTGCAGTATTTTTAACTAGTTAATATTGAGTCAATGTAACTCAAAAGCATATGCCTCATTCATTCTATTACTTTCTGCAGCATTTTATGTTTTATAAATTTTTTCCATTATTCTTTAACACTACGGTTGGATCGTGAGGTAAGGTGAGGTGAGAAGAGAAATGATTGTGGTTTCCACATAGATGAGAAAGGAAAAGAAATGAATATAGTTTCTCACCGTTATGTTTGGATGAATAAAAGAGAAGAGAATGTGATTTCTCACCTATCTTGTTTGGATAAAAAAACTAGGAGAAAAGAAAGAAAAGTGTCGTATTTCATCTTTCATCATTTCTCACCTATTTAACCATCCGAACAAGTGAAGAGGTTTCCTATTTTCATTATTTCTTTTCTTTTCTCACCAAACCCCTCCATCAAAACGGAGTGTCAAACAGATCCTATGAGGAAAAATTCAACAGAAGTAGTTTCTCCAATGTCAGTCAGGTGAATACATGGGAGGACTGCATTTGACATTGGCCTTCATAATAAAGGACAAATTATGGTGACCAACCAATTTTTAGGTTTGTAAAGGTAAAGGTTGTTCTTAGACTTTAAAGTGTCCTTCAATCTACATACAAAGGGTTCATGAAAAATAAAAATAAAAATAAAAATATATCAGGTGTCAAAAAAATAATTTATTACATCTATAATGCATCACCCCAATCATCTAGAGAAAACAAAGGGAGAAGGAAAATTTTAAATATATATATATGACTTTATGTGGGTCAACTGCTCAGAACAGCATATACAATCAGTACAGACCACATAACTGCTGTTTCTAAAAGTACTATATGCAAACAAAGATCCTACTTTTCCCGATTGTCATAGTGCTATAATTAACTCTATCCTGTTTCCTTTATGAAGCTTATAATGCAGTACATGTGCAAATTCATTTATTCTCACCGAAAACGTCACAGGGATTATTGTATGTATTCAAAATTCAAATCATCTTAGTCATATTTTTTGTATTGTGAGCATATTAAGCCTGCTCCTATATCACTTGAAATGTGCTATATCCTTCAGTAATTACAGACAAGCAATGCACACAGATTAACCCGCGGACCAATTTATGATGTCTCCGTCGCTGACGTTTGTCAAGCAGGCCATGTGGATTGACCAGGGTCTTCAACTGTAATTCCTCATAGATGTAGCTATTCTGGTATTAGATGTGTATGAAAGCCGTCATCCCAAACATTAAAAAAGATGGCAAAAACACAATAGAGTAGAATGGTCATGACTCAGAAGGAAAAGTTGTTTGCCCTTTTGCGATATATATAGAGAAAATTCATAATGATGAATATGGAATGGTTAAGTGGCCCTAAACCAAGGCCTAATCAACAAATGCCACATCTTCTATCTCGCAGTATACAACTATAAAAGTTTCAACCAAAATGATGAACATAGTCTAATGCATGAAACGTATCTGAAATGATACAAATGCATGTCCCATTGTCAATATAGCTGAAAACAAGAATATTTCAGTAAAGCAATAGCATATGCAGATTGTATGATAAATGTAATGATATATTAACTGAAACAGGAATTAGATGTTTGACCTGAAGATGCCTCTTTAAAGAAAAAAGATATTTCCCTAGCAGCAGACTCAGATGAGTCTGAACCATGAACACAATTTGTTTGCGAATCCAACCCACACATGGCTCTGATGCTGGAACAAAAGCAAAAATCAAAATTGTAACAATGAAGTCATGGGATGAATATAACAGAGTACAGAAATAAACTAAAAAGAGTATACATAAGTTTTGAATCGTAGAACAAATTGGCAGGTAGCATCCAGCTTATGTGTAAATAGATCAAGAGACAGGACTGAAATAGAACTACACAAGACAAAAGGTCAAATGAGAAAATGAAATACCTGTTAGGATGGGTAACCTTAGCCTTGCGAGCATCAGTTGGTCCAATCATAGCACGCCAATCAGCAACAGCATTCACTTTCTCCAGAACCATAATCAACACGGGGCCACTGATAAATGAAAATGTGTAAAAGAGAGAGTGCTGTTGAGAAACTTACTTATTCAAAACTCAATAAAATGAGAGCTATAACTCAACTTAGACAACAAAGCCATTGTTGTTGTTCATAAACTATTGATCTTTCCAATGAGTTATTTCTATACTGGTACTCATGATATGAATAATCATAATTTACATGTCATACTGTGATACTGGTACACAAATACAGGGGTTCTCCAGTTCTGAAATAACACAAGTTTTTCCTTTCATTTTTATAGGATAAGTATAATAAAAACCTAGGAGTTAAAGGCCTGAAAAAGGAAAGGGGAAAAAAAAACTTTTACACATATTCAAGTTTGTAGTAACTAGTTCCTAGGCTTACGGGTTGGTTCAGTCTTACATGGACTTTTTTATTCCCTCTAGCGTAGCCGTGTCCACCAGATATGACAAGGGTAAGGGCACAGCTGCACGAGATATGCATCCAACCCCCATAGCTAAATTAGACACTTGGATCTTCTATTTTTCTATGGTGTTTGAAGAAGAAAAAAAAACTCACATTTGCCAGTTAAAAACAAATATGTCCTCTCATATGGATGGAAGATAGAAATCCCCTTTATTCCCTAGATCCCATTTAATTTCAATTACATTCCTAAACAATAATATCTTATTTTTATATCCTACACAACATATTTAAATATTCAGGACATGTCCATGTATCCAAATGCAATTTTTGAATGTATATTCCTATATCCTAAGTTTTAGGGTTTATGAAGGACCAACGCCTAGACACACCCACAGGCCGATACTCATAGCTAAATCCATGTAACATCGGGTTGAGTGAATTTTGGGACCACCTTTTGGGCAATGTTATAATCTCAAAGCCTCAGACTGCGAATAGATGCATCACAGAAATAAAGCAGAAGGTTAGTTCTGTATTTCCCAACAAAAAAAGATCAATAGGACCAACACTAAGCAATGGCCCTTTTTGGTTATTAGGACAGGTGAAAATTAAATGCCACTAACAAACCAGTAAGTGAAAAAGATTATGATTATACTAGAGGAGATGAGAAATAAAGATGACAGAAAATAAGAAATGGTTAAAAGTTGCAGCAGTCTATAAAGTATATAAGGTAATTCTGTTAAGAACCAGTGAACCACTGATTTCAGGTTAATGTGACACCAAAATTACCAAATGATCGAGACAGAGTAAAGTACCTTGTCATGTAATTAACCAGGCTTGGAAAGAAGCTCTTTGATGAGTGCACAGCATAAAAGCTTTTTACTGTATCCTCATCAAGATGAATCGTCATTTCCTTACAGATGCTGAAGCCAGAGTCCAGAATAATTTCCTTTATTGCATTTGTATAGCTACCAAACAATCCATCTGGCTTTATCATTGCCAATGTTTTCTCCTTTTCTATACTACCATCACCCGATGATCTGTAATTCTTGGACCAGTAAGATAACTAATATAGTAGAAAATTGAAGAAAAAATCAATTTCTACTGAGAAAAAAGATTTTAACCTAATGTTTTAAATATATTGTTCTAGACTAAATTCTATGATTTGACACTAGCCATTTCAAGCTAGTACCTAATAAATAATTGGCAGAACCTTTCAAAATCAAAATAATAGATAAGCATTATTAAATTCAGCGGTATAGTTTTCAATTTGAGTAGTCAATGATTTTCATCATGTTAAACTCTAGTTGCGATTAAGGTTCAAAAGTGCTGTAAGAGTTTAAGTGCACAAATATAAAACTCAACTGGGGCTTGTTCATTGATAGTACAACATCATGTGCTCATTTAGAAATTACGTAGGAACTGGGAAGTTCAAAAATAAATAATTTTATAAATCATACTACCGGAAGGAGGGAATATTCCACAGCATATCCTTAGGAGCTTCTAGAATGACTTTCTCACCAAGGGAAACCCATCCATATATACACACTTACACCTCCAAGGGTTAAGGTATGTCCACATTCTTTACACAAACTCTCTAGTGATATCTCTTATGTAACGGGAGATTGACTTGCACGTTAGAATGCACGCGGCCCACCGCAAGCTGGGCACTAACGGGGGTTTTCTTTGTAGATCATGAAGACATGGCAGGCAGATCATCAACAAGTAGGGTATATTTTTCTCCCTACAAAACAAATTAGCCTCCTATACAGACTTGCTTTTGGGAACAGCATTTCTAAACAACCCAACAAGTGGAAGCTCCAAGATTTAGTGAGGAAAAGGTTTTCCCTCAGAGGATGTTTGCTCAACCGCATGAGGATAACAATTTTGCTTTTCAACAAACTATACACAAGTTGATTACAAAAAATCATTTTATATTTTCCGTCGGTTTTAATTAACGAAAATAGGCACATGTTTTAATTTGAAAATAAATCTAAAATTTTTTTTAAAAAAACTAAAAATTAAGGTTTATTTTGTTATAAAGCCTGGTTTTTCCGTTTTTATAATTTGACCAACAAAACTTCCATTAAACCGCAATTGAGATGGTCCTATACACAAATTGTAAACTACAAAAATAACATACGATGTAGAAAGAGAAAGAGTAGTAAGAAGTAGAGACCTAACTTTGGTCACCTGTGAGGGAGAGAGACAGCAGAGACGAGAAGGAAGAGAAGAGCAGAGAATTGAATGGATCGGAGACTCATTTGAAGCATCGATCTGTAAAGAATCGAAAAAAGTTGCAGTCAGTGAAGATGAATCGAATAAGTGAATGATGAACAGTTAGGAAATCGAAACTATGATATGCATATTTATTACCTGTAATGTAAATGCGACTCGAGGGAGAAATAAATAGCGGAAGGACAAGAACAAGTGGAGGTTTTGTCGTTGTCGTCTCCGTCCGTGGAAGAAGAAATGGCGGGAAAGCAGCTTATATTGATCAGAAGAAGAGTGAAGCCCTGTTTGTTGGTTTGGCACAGAGACATCTTCTTCGCTTTTGCTGTCCTGGAGTAGTTTTTAGGTTATTCAATAATTAATGACCTTTTTTATTATTATTAAATACTAGTATATTATCCGTATTGTGTTTATAATTATCTATATATGTGAATTGCGATTTTTAAATATTTTCTTCTTTTCTTTTTCTTTTAAATGTCTTCTTTTTTTCCTTTTTTATATTATATTAAAATATAATATTTTGATAATAATCATATGTGTTAGACTTTTTAAGAAATTAAATTTTTTTTTTTTTTTGAGCTTTTTTGATAAATCCACTTTCTAAAAACTTTATTTCATTCAACCCATATTCTTTTTTGCTATTTCATTAGGTCTTATTTGAGATAAGAATACCAAAATACCATTTTCATCTACTTATGTTCCATTTAGTTCACATTATTTTATTATGTTTCAATAAGTCCTAGGGGTGACATAATTACCAAAATACCCCTAATGTGAATGTTCACACCGTCAATATGAATGTTCATATCGTCAATGTGTAGGGGCCCGACCTATGTCAATCCTCGTGGGTGCCCGAAAAAATTCAAATCGGGCTGGGCGCGGGCCCGGCCCATTAACAATGTGAATATTCAGATTGACATGTTAACATTCACATTAATAGGAGTGTAAAATTGGTCCGCGTCTCGTGGCGGCGTGAAACCCGCGCCGCGGCCCATGGGCGGCTCGGGCAGGCCCAGTCCGACCTGTTGACAATGTGAATATTCACATTGACATATTAACATTCACATTGATAAGAAATATAAAATTGGCCCGCGGCCCATGGGCCGCCAAAAGCCCGCCCCCGGCCCGGGGTGGACCCGGCCCGGCCCGTTGACAATGTGAATATTCACATTGACATGTTAACATTCACATTGATAGGAGTGTAAAATTAGTCCGCGCCTCGTGGCTGCCCAAAACCGGCCCACGGCCCGGCCTGTTAACAATGTGAATATTCACATTGATATGTTAACATTCACATTGATAGGAGTGTAAAATTAGCTCGTGCCTCGTGACTGCCCGAAACCCACCCACGGCTCAGGGGCGGGCCTGGCCAATTTTTTTTAATTTTTTCTACAAAAATTTTATTATTTTCCACAAAAAAAAACACTAGGCCTCGACGCGGGCCAGGCCTCGGATCGAGCCTTGAATGGGCCTTAACCGGGCCGATGGGTCGGGCCGGGCTTCAAAGTGATGGCCTAGGCCCTAACCTAGGGTCTCGGACATGCTCGGACCCGGACCCAAACGAGCCTGCCCCGGGCCATGGGCGATCTTCGGGCAGCCCACGGGCTGCTGGCCAATTCTACTAGGCTCGAGCCTGGGCCCAAACGAGCCTTTCCCAGGCCGAGTCGGGCCGACCCACGGGCCAAAAAATTAGGCCCAGGCCCTAGCCTTGGCACAAGGGTATTCGGGCTTTGGACGGGCCGATAGATCGAGCCTCGGGTCGGGCCGGTGGGCCTGGGCCTAGCCTCGAGCTTAGGTTGGGCTTTGGCATTTTTTTTAATTTTTTCTACCAAAATTTTATTATTTTCCACAAAACAATATATTGCGCCACGGGCGGGCTGGGCTGGGCCTCGAACCGAGCCTTGAATGGGCCTTAAGCGGGCCGATGGGCCGGGCCAGGCTTCAAAGTGATGACCTAGGCCCTAACCTAGGGTTTTGGACATGCTCGAGCCCGGATCGAAACGAGCCTGCCCCGGGCCGTAGGCGGGTCTCAGCCAGCCCACGGGCCGCAGGCCAATTCTACATTCCTATCAATGTGCATTTTAACATGTCAATGTGAATATTCACATTGTCAATAGGCCGGGCCGGACCTACCCCGGGCCGCGGGCAAGCTTCGAGCAGCAGGCAAATTTTACACTCCTATCAATATTAATGTTAACATGTCAATGTAAATATTCACATTGTCAACGGGCTGAGCCGGGCCCGCCTCGGGCTTCGGGCTTCGGTCCGCCCACGGGCTGCGGGCCAATTTTACACTCTTATAAATGTGAATGTTAACATGTCAATGTGAATATTCATATTGTCAACGGGCCGGGTCGGGCCCGCCCTAGGCCGCTGGCCAATTTTATACTCTTATCAATGTGAATGTTAACATGTCAATATGAATATTCACATTGTCAACAGGCCGGGCCGAGCCCGTCCCGGGCCGCCCATGGGCCGTGGGCAGGTTTCGGGCAACCACGAGGCGCGGGCTAATTTTACACTCCTATCAATGTGAATGTTAACATGTCAATGTGAATATTCACATTGTCAACGGGCCGGGCCGGGCCCCCACGGGGCGACGGGCGGGCTTTTGGCCACCCATGGCCCACAGGCCAATTTTATACTCTTATCAATGTGAATGTTAACATGTCAATATAAATATTCACATTGTCAACAAGCCGGACCGGGCCCGCCCCAAGCCGCCCATGGGCCGTGGGCGGGTTTTGGGCAACCACAAGGCGCAGGCTAATTTTACACTCCTATCAATGTGAATGTTAACATGTTAATGTAAATATTCACATTGTCAACGGGGCGGGTCGGGCCCGCCCTGGGCCGCTGGCTAATTTTATACTCTTATCAATGTGAATGTTAACATGTCAATGTGAATATTCGCATTGTTAACGGGCCGGGTCGAGCCCGCCCTAAGCCGCTGACTAATTTTATACTCCTATCAATGTGAATGTTAACATGTCAATGTGAATATTCACATTGTCAACGGGACGGGTCGGGCCCGCCCTAGGCCGCTGGCAAATTTTATACTCTTATCAATGTGAATGTTAACATGTCAATGTGAATATTCGCATTGTCAATAGGCTGGGTTGGGACCGCCCTAGGCCGCTGGTCAATTTTATACTCTTATCAATGTGAATGTTAACATGTCAATGTTAATATTCACATTGTCAACAGGCCAGGCCGGGCCGGGCCCGCCCCGGGCCGTGGGCGGGTTTTGGACAAACCACGAGGCGCGGGCTAATTTTACACTCCTATCAATATGAATGTTAACATGTCAATGTGAATATTCACATTGTCAACGGGCCGGGTCTGGCCCGCCCCGGGCGGCGGACGAGCTTTTGGGCAGCCATGGGCTGCGGATCAATTTTATACTCTTATCAATGTGAATGTTAACATGTCAATGTGAATGTTAATATTGTTAACGGGCTGGACCAGGGCCGCCCATGGGCCGCGGGCAGGTTTCGCGCCGCCACGGGACAAGAGCCAATTTTATACTCCTATTAATGTGCATGTTAACATGTCAATGTGAATATTCACATTGTTAATGGGCTGGGCCCGCCCCCGATTTTTGGGCCGCCCACGGGCCAATTTTACATTTCTACCAATGTGAATTTTAAAATATGAATGCTCACATCATAAAAATTGCTAACCGTTTAAAAAATATTTATAAAGGTATCAAAATTAAATATAAGGGCATAAGTGTCCAAGAAAATAGTGTAAATCAAGAAAAAAGATTTTATGGAATAAAACTATACATACATGGGACTAAATGGGTTAAAAAATTCATTCATGGACTTCTTGAGTTAAAACACTTCTAAATAGGATTTATCAATAATTTACCCCTTTTTTTTATTATATTATATTAAAGTTTAATATTTTGATAATAATCATATGTTTTAGACTTTTCAAGTATTTTTTTTTTTATATTTGTTCTTAATGCATTAAAGTGTTATTATGAGGGATAATAATCATATGTGTTGAGACTTTTCAAGGAATTCATATGTGCTGGATTTCAAAAAAATAATTTTATGCTTGTTCTTAATGCATTAAAGTGTTATTATGAGGGTAAGACTTGGGAGTCCGGATCCTCTCCTTGAGGCCCTCTCCTTCATTTCTTACTAGCAACGGCTGAGATTAGCCGTTGCAGATCCAACGGCCATTAAAAAAAAGAAAAAAGTTAAAACAAATTCAATTTCGTTTCCTGCCCAAACCATCATACAGCTTTTACAGCTTTTTGTATAAGCTCACTCTCACTCAGCCTCCTTCTCCTCCACTCCTCCAGCAAATCCACCTTCACTGGCGACCCACCCTCGCCGGCGATCCACTCCCGACAACGGCGAGAAACAAAGACACAAAGAGTTTTTGATTGTGTTTTCGATTATGCAATGCTATCAAAAAACAGAGACACAGATTATGCAATGCACTTGGATATCTTTCATTTTTTTTTTTTTGGTTACATTCCAGTTTTCTTTTGTTTAATTGTATTTTTTTTTAAATTTTGAAAACCTGTGTGTTTTAATTGTTTAATTGTGTTTTACCACTTCTCCAACTTTGTTACGGTGTGTTTTCCTTTTATTTAATTTTTTTTCTGGAGCAGATATTGTTCATGTTGCTGTTGTTGTTGGAAACTAATGGAATATAGATAAAGCAAAGCAATCAAAAAATACAGCAAAGTTGGAATAGTACAAAGATGGAATATGGAATATGGATAAGCTTCTTTGTTGTTGGCAAAGCTTCTTTTGAGTTGTGTAATAGTGCCTCGGATCGAGCCTTGAATGGGCCTTAACCAAGCTGATGGGCCGGGCTGGGCTTCAAAGTGATGGCCCAGGCCCTAGCCTAGGGTCTCGAACTAGGCTCGAGCCTGGGCCCAAACGAGCCTTTCCCGGGCTAGGTCGGGCCGGCCCACGGGCCAAAAAATTAGGCCCAGGCCCTAGCCTTGGCACAAGGGTATTCGGGCTTTGGACGGGCCGATGGATCGAGCCTCGGGTCGAACCGGTGGGCCTGGGCCTAGCCTCGAGCTTAGGTCAGGCTTAGGCGGGCTGGCTATTTTTTTTTAATTCTTTTTAATTTTTTCTATTAAAATTTTATTATTTTTCACAAAAAAATACATTGCGCCTCGGCGCGGGCTGGGCCTCGGACCGAGCCTTGAATGGGCCTTAAGTGGGCCGATGGGGCGGGCCAGGCTTTAAAGTGATGACCTAGGCCCTAACCTAGGGTTTTGGACATGCTCGGGCCCGGATCGAAACGAGCCTGCCCCGGGCCGTGGGCGGGTCTCGGGCAGCCCACGGGCCGCAGGCCAATTCTGCATTCCT